TTTGTCACATATCAACTATTTCATCTACCCATGTTTTACCCAACACATTTTGTAGATGTAAAATACATATACGGTTTAAACCATTTAAAACATGTATAAAAATCTTTCACCCAACATAGACGGCAAGTATACAGACAATATGCACACATAGAATGTAATTTATATTAACTACTTCATATCTATGTCTAAGATGAAAGTAACTATGCACTCACTTGGTAAGGTGGTGACTCGGTACTCGGATAACACTTCGTTATCTCAAATCAATTTTTCCCTTGACAAAACTAGTATCAATACCACTAGGGTTTAGTCTAACGTTAACCGCGACTAATTAATAGTCTAGCTATTATTACTATTATATAAGCGTTTAAACAGTACTCTTCACCCACTATGTACAGACGGGGGCCAGACATAAAACACTGGAGGGCAGGACCATTTTCACATATAACACTTCTGAAATCCAACAACCCTATGCGGCCCTTTAAACCAGATTCCCCGTACCGCGAGTGGTTAAAAAGACATTATAACGACATTTATATACGTCATAATAATAGCCCAAATAATTATTATAAGGTCCTAATAACGTTACTATAATTAATTAAAAGCTATATTAAAAATAGCGTAGGCATAGCTCACTTACAACAGGTTTTCTTGAAAACCGGGCTTCTCTTGGAGCAGCGTTTCCGAACCGAAAGACCCTTTTTCTCGGGACTCCGGGAGCCTCGGGGCTTCCTCCGGGTGCTAGGGGGTTTACCAAGGCTTAGGGGGGGGGGGTTTAGGTGGGTAGTGAGAGAAAGTAGAGAGAGAAAGTTGTGGTGGAATGAGTAAAGAAGCCGGCTGCCCTCGCAGCCCTTTTATAGGCTGGTCCTTGAACGTACGTTGGGCGTAAGGTCCTCAGACATGGGGCGTAACTCGGATAAGGATTACAGGTGGCGGACTCCGGATGGTACGACGTGGTCGCTTCTGGGCCGAGCAATGGCTGGCGTACGCGGCGCGTTCCGAGCTTCTTACGTGGGGCGTACCGAAGGCGACGTGTCACGATCCGAAGCGATCTCTACGATCAGCATCGGACGGCTGGGATTCGGCCACGTCATCGAGTTCGCATCAGGCTTCGCAAATTCATACTCCGACTTCAAAATTTTGTATCTTTCACATACAAGCTCCGTTTTCGACGTTCTTTATATCCACGCGTAGGCGGGATCATATTCTACAGCTTTCGTTTAGACTCCGTTGGCTAATTTTGACTTTATTTTAAAAGTTATATTTTTAACAGGCCGGGATAGGGTTGGTCTGTTAAAAATCCATAACTTCTTCATCCGACGTCCGTTTTCGTCTATCTTTTTATTGTTATGCTACTATTAACGAGATATTCGATTCTCATCTAGGTTGTGTCGAATAAAAATTGCTCGATCTAATATTCAAACTTCGGGCTGTACATTGCTTAGCCGAAACTTCGAAAAATCATAACTTCCTCATACGAAGTCAGATTTGGGCATTCTTTTTATGGACACTCCCGGTTTAACGTAGTCTACGACTTTCATTTAGATTGCTAAGGCTAAAAGTCGTTCTATCGTAAATTAACTATTGACGTCTCCCAGTGCCGTGTCGGTTCTGTCTCGAAACTTCGACAGGCCATAACTCCTTCGTTATAACTCGGATTTCGGCGTTCTTTATATGTACAGTATCCTTGTAACATATGCTACAACTTTTATTAAGACTATTCATTCTAAATAGCCTTCTATCAAAAAGTCATTTCCGACACCTATCGTCTGTAAATTGACTAGCCCAGATTTACGGGCGATACAAACTCCCCCTCAGCAATCTCCACAATAGAATTCTCCACATCAGACTCCTACTCAATTCAAAATTTTGGCACACGTAATGTCTTCTGATCATTCTAACGACTCCACGACCACTCTTCAAAAGAAACGTGACTGGAGGGCTTCCTAGTTTGCAGAACAAATTTGGAAAGCTCACGGATTTGAAACAACAATGGATGAGTCATTAATCAATTCTTGGGTAAATCGTACCCGCAGGCTACTGGATTATGGTTACAAGCCAATCCTTACTTCTGTTGAACCTCTATCAGATGGCTACTAGGACATACCCATCTCTCCAAACTCCAAATTTTTCCCAGTATTTGAACCATTTAATTTCAATCTTCTAGATGATCAAAGACTCCTAATGGAATTTGAACGTCTGAATCTTTTTCATGCTAAGCATGGTTCAAAGTTTGAGAAAAATTGGTCTAATGATAGACCATACGGGGTCAAGAACTACAAATTAAGAAATTTCATGAAAATTGGTTTTCTTCAATATACCCTGACCAGAAGAGGAGATGAGCACATCAGAACTCAAGCGGATTTCGTATGCATGAACCCAGAGGAGATATTTCTGATTGCCAGGGTGTTTCAAGTCAATGCTGAAAAATATCCTAAGATGAAAATTGCTTGTGAAAGAGCTTGTGAATTCCTCAAGGATTTGGTATGCGACTTCGGAAAGATTGATGCATAAATTCACCCACTCCTTTCCAAGAAATTTGATTTTCTTGAATTCAAGCCTGTACCGACATACACTAATGGATTTCAAGAGATTTTACTTGGAGAAACAAGCTACCTAAAGCTAGGACTTTTTTACAAAAGGGCTCAAGATGGTCCCAAATATTTCATCCCGGTGACCACAATCGATCGACTCACCAAGAAGCAACTAGACACCACTTTGGCTTTAGTGCAAAGATCGAAGCACACTACGGATGAAGTCAAGTTAGAAATCTCAAGGAGAATCTAGTGGTTGTTCGAAGTTAGAAAATTCTGGTGGATTCTTATTCGGTTCCTCAAGTTGCAAAAATGAAGAAGATAGCTTAGAGGTCACTCTGGGGGAAATTGTTGATACAAAAAGTGACCCTCTTTAGCTAAGGAACTGCAGTCTGGAGTGTTGGTGATACCGTAGAAGAAGTTGACTACCGAAGTTGGAGAAAATCCATTGTGAACCGCAACCACAGCAGCTACCGCAGAGATGAATGATGAATGAAGATTTTCATGTTACTTTACTGACCTAGCGTGTTTGCTTAGTTTTGTCCAGTGAACCTTGCATGGTCACTGAAGTAAGTAGAATAGTATTTATTTATTCCAAATGTAACTTTTCGGGACTCTATAAATAGAGGATCCCACTTCATGTATTAACACACCGTCACGATCTTTCTGAAGTATTATCGAAATAAAAAGATCATTCATCTCTATTCTATCTTAACTGATATCCCGAGTTCCTCTTCACTTTAAGTTTATCACATTTGTTAACTTGTGTTTGCATGTAATTCTTGTTATGAATCAACTTGGTGTCTACTTGATATAACTTGCTGTCATTTATATTTCCTTTATATTTCCGCAATCTAACACTTCTAACTTATTATTATTGAGCTAACAAGATCGTTGAGGTTAACTTATTTCGCAAGTTATTATCTTGTACTAATGTTTGTTCAAGTGTTCCTCAAAGTTTTTCTCTCAACACGAACAAAACCAATAATTAATTTAATCATATTTGATTATATATAAATATTAATATTTTTTCGATAACTATATGTAATTATAACTTTGTGTTAATCATATGATTATACAAAAACACATCAATACTTACATATAATATTCAAGGAGGAGATACTTATAACTTGTATTAATCAAGTGTGATTATAATAATATTTGATTACAAATTACATGCAAAAGAGTTTTAAATTTTACAAATTGCATACAAAGACTTTAAAACAATTAAAAAATAAAAATTATTTTTCAATACAACATTTTTAACAGAAATTGATGTTTAATACATGCTCCTGCATCGCATCTACTTCCAAACCAAAACATCATAAAAATATTTTATTTTAATCATATATGGCTAAAACTTTTACTCGCCTATGATTGGATCTCTTTTGGGTATTTTAATCACATACGATTAAAACAGTGTTGTGATAATCACATGTGATTATAATGATATATGATTTAAAAATGATTTATGGATTTAAAAATGATTTATGGATAATCACATGTGATTATAATGATATGTGATTATTTATGAATATTAATACGTTTTTCTATAATAATATTAAATTATAACTTTGTTTTAATCATGTGTGATTATAATCATTTAATCACATATGATTATATATAAATATTGATATGTTTTTATATAATCATAAGTGATTATAAATAAAACATATCAATAAGTAAAAACAATATCCAAGTAGAAACTAATTATAACTTGTATTAATCAAATGTGATTATAAATTACATGAAAAAGACTTTTCAATTCTACAAATTACAATAAAAATGTTTTAAAACAACTAATACATAATAATTATTCTCAATATAACATTTTTTACAAAAAACCAATGTTTAATACATGCTCGTACATCTACTTCCAAACCTAAACATACGAAAAATATTTTATTTTTATCATATATTGCAAAAACGTTTACTCACATGTGATTGAATCTATTTTGGATATGTTAATGACATACGATTAAAACAGAGTGTTGTTGATTTTTTATAATCACATTTTATTGATTTGTAGGAGATTCAATTAAAACAAAAGTTACAAAAAAAACAACTAAATGATTTATAACACTATATTATTAAATGTAAGTGATTTAAAAATGATTTATGGATTTAAAAAATACATAATTAATATAAGCATATTTTATTATATATGAATATTGATATGTGTTTCTATAATCATATGTAATTATAATTTTTTTTAAATGCATATGATTATAATCATACAACCACATGTGATTATATTTAAATATTGACATGTTTTTGTATAATCATATATGGTAATACATAAAACATATAAATAGTTATAGGTAATATTTAGATAGGAAACAATTATAACTTGTACTAAGCAAATGTGATTATAATCATATTTGATTATAAATTACATGCAAAATATTTTTACATTGTACAAATTACATACAAAAGACTTTAAAACAGTTAAAAAATAACAATTATTTTTCAGTACAACACTTTTAACAAAAAATAATGTTTAATAGCTGCTCCTACATCTACTTCCAAACCTGAACATAGAAAAATATTTTATTAATCATATGTTATTGTAAAAATATATTTTTAATAGTCATATATGATTTACAAATAAATACTCATATCTACCTCCCCCTTTCACATTCTTTTCTTCTTCACCAATTTTTCCTTCTCCTTTACAAACATTCTTCTCTTCCATACTCCACACCTAAATATAATTAAACTATTTATTAATCTCTTATAATGGTACTAAGATATTGATATGATTCTTTATAATAATATGTGATTATAACATATGTAATAGTATGTGATTAATTTTTTTACCTCTTTCTTTAACATTGTCATTTTCTCATAAACTTTTTGATATTTTTTATTATCTTCTCCATCATTTATTTTATTCCCCTCCCAACCTATATTTATTAATCATTTTTAATTGTAAAAAGATATTGATTTGATTCTTTATAATAATATGCGACTATAATCACATGTGCTTATAACATATGTAATCATATGTAATTATTGTTTTTTACCTCTTGCTTTAACCTTGTCATTTTCATCATCATCATCATCATCATCATCATCATCATCATCATCATCATCATCATCATCATATTTTTGATCTTTTCCATTATTTGTTTTATTCTCCTCCAAACCTGAATATAAGAAAAATATATATCTAATCATATATATGATTATAAAAAGATGAATTTAATATTAATAATCATATATGATTTAGTAATATAGACTTATTTTCCCTGTTTCTTCAACATTCTCTTCCCCCTTATCATCATCACTTTTTCCACCATTTTCATCATCCATATTTCTCCTCTCCAAACTTACATATAATTAAAATATGTAGTTAATTATATATTATTGTACAAAGATATTTTTAATAATAATATATTATTTTCAAATATATACTATCACCTACCTCCTCCTTTAATATTCTCCATTCCCACATCCTTCTTCTCTGCCTCATCTTCCTCTCCACCTTTAATACTCTCACTGCCTTCATTATCTTTCTTACCATCTTTGAGATTGCGCACTCCTTCAAAACCAACATTACCTTCATCATGATCTTCATTATTACCTTGAACATCACCATTTCCTTTTCATCTTCATCATATTCATTCTTATCATCAAAAATATCTTCCAAACTATCATTCAAATGATTCAATGTTACATTTATTTGGAATTTGTTAATTCCATTTTCAATCAACATATCTAACTTCTTATACTTCATCAGAATCATTTCTTGGTAAGACTAAATCAAAAATAATAAAAACTTTCTATTAATATATAGGAATCAAGATTATGATTATTAAATAATGAGAATTCTTTTTTGTATCATGGTTATAATTAAATTTACCTACTAATTCAACTCTTCCTCTTCAAACTCTTCATTTAAATCTCTTGTAACGAAATCTCCCAACACTTGCTTTTCGTAAGTTTCTCTTAGCAAAATCTTCCCTAACGTATAGTGACAGATCATCAGACGTGTTATTTCAACTTTTAATACCTCAAAATGGACACTATCTACGTAAAGCAACTTCAAAAGAAGAAATAATTACATTACATATACAATAATATGCTATTGAATAAATTTACTTTTAAATCACATGTGATTATAGAAATTGAGATTTTAATAAAACTTTAAATGATCAATCACACCTGATTATAAATATAGTGAGTTTTAGATGTGATTAAAGAAATTTAGTTTTTGAATCACATGGGATTATTGTTATTCATATTTTAACAAAACTATAAAAAAGCCTGAAAATCAAATGTGATTTAAAAAGCAAACGTATTCAGACGTAATTAAAGTATTTGTTATTACAAGCATATGTGATTAAAGAAATTCACTTTTAAACCACATGTGATTCTATAAATTTAGATTTTAATCTATAAAAATCATTGAAGATCACATGTGATTAAACAAAATTTGTTTTTAAATCAAATGTGATTATTGCTATTATAATTTTAACAGTTGTAAAAAACACTGAAAATCACATGTGATTATAAAAATAATGAGATTCACATGTGATCAAGCATGTGATTATAAAAATAATCAGACTCATATGTGATTAAAGTATTTTTCATTTCAGTCATATGTGATTAAAGAAATTTATTTATAAATCACATGTGATTATAGCATTTTTAGATTTTAATGTAACTATAAAAAACCCTGTAACTGTAAGAAAAATATAAAAATCACATGTGATTATAAAGATAATAAAATAGAAGAGAGTTTATTAATGTACCACTAAATAAGTGCATGGTCCAACGAAATTCCTTGTTTAACTTGATGGATTATAAGATTGCTTAGGCTTAACCAAACAGTCTATTAGATAGGAGCACCAGTCAATGTTGCTTATTTTTATGTTCTTCATTATGTAGTTTAACGAGGATGTCTTTGCTTTTCCAGATGATCTTGATTCAATCAAAGAGTTTACTAACAAAGCCAAGAAATTCATTCTAAAGTTCATATCCGCTTTGTTTTAAGAGACAATCTTTAGTTTTATTTCTTAAAGTCTCATCATACTCTTATTTTCAAACTGTTATGGCCATTAATCACATGTATTATCTACTTTTGTGCCAAATGAAAGTTTTGAAAACTTTTTTCCATCACAATGGAAATCCATGAATTTGATTTACTGATTCCCTTGTCATATTAATGTCCTCTATTTGAAGAATAATCTTCTTTGTTGTTGGATAAAACTTGCAAAGAACAGAGAAACTTAGTGCCCCAAATGCCTCTGCCATCTTCATCTTCAAGAGACAAGCAAATTCGATATCTATGACATAATCTTTTTAAACTTCATTAAACCTTAGATGACCGATAACAAGGCTCCATGGGAACACCTATCATCAAATTCATCAATTAATGCAATAAATTCATATGTTTTTATTAGGGGTGATCGTAGGCGGGTACCCGTCATAATTATCTTTAACCTGAACCGGAACCGGCGGGTAGCGGTTCCCTTACCAGTTAGTTGGTTCGTTAAATTTGTTGAATTTTTAAAACATTTAAAACTATATTTATCACTTAGAACTCAGAGAATTAAAAGCCATAGCTAAACAAATATTTCTATGAGTTATAATTTAACGAGAACATAATAGTATATGTGTATACTATTTACAATTTCATTATGAATATGGATAGTTTAAATTCAAAGTGGAAATAACACACGTACATTTAAACGTTCAAAACAAATTACTCAAAATTCTACAATTTTAAATGATGTTATTCAAGATGTTTTATAAAGTATGTTATTGTGATATATATATATATATATATATATATATATATATATATATATATATATATTCAAGTGGTTTCGGTTTCAGTTCCAGTTTTCATTTTTATAGAACCGCTACCCACTGGGTACCCGTCGTAACTAATATATATATATATATATATATATATATATATATATATATATATATATATATATATATATATATATATATATTTATTCCGACGGGTACCCAGTGGGTAGCGGTTGTATAAAAATGAAAACGGAACCGAAACCGAAACCGCTTAAGGCGGTTACTATTCCGGAAATGATGGTTCCGAGGCAGTTATAAATCTGAAAGCGGGTAACAAGTTCTGCTACTCATCCCTACTTTTTATAAAGATTAATGTACTTAATATACATGTGTGGTATTTGAATCATATATGATTGAACTAAAAAACATGGGAAATATAATCACATGTTGATGTCTGTATACAAAAGATGGTATAAATGTGAATAAAGTAAGATATGTAGCATTTTTTAAAGTCATATATGATTTTAATCATATATTACTAAAATAGTGTTTTATCATAACAGATGTTAATCATATGTGATTTAAAACAAAATATATAAAAGATGGTAATCACAAAAATATATATGTTCCTGATTAAATCAAATTTCCTTACTATCTTCTTCTTTCTACTCTTTATCTCCTTTGTTTAAAGTTGGAATCTTTATTTTAATCAACAAGTTTTTTTTAAGCTACAACGTTTCTCTTTTTTTACTCGGGTTTTTCTGCTGCTAGTACAATAGTTTTTTTGGGAATCATATGTGTTAAACATTAATATATTTTTAAAATAAATACTAATCACATGCGATTAAAGAATTTTTTAGGGTTTTTTAGGTTCCTATTTACATTTTATTGAATTACACCTTTGTCGTGTTTTTGTTTAGGTCTCCTTTTTTGTTTCTTCTTCATTGACGCTTTGTCCTTTTCTTTTAGATTTTCTAAAACGTATAAATATAGATATAAATTACAAATGATAAAACATTGTTATTATAAACAAAGCATAAATTGTTATTAATAGATGTTAATCACATGTGATTGAATATCTTTTATGTATACAAAAGATGGTTGTCACATTTGATTGAAAAAGGTTGTTGTATGTTTATGTGTATACTCATATACGATTGAGTTTACAAAGGATGTTTAGGACTTTAATCATATGTAATTGAATTATACATTTCTCATTTTTTTTCTTTTGTTCTTCCCTCTATTTCTTCCTTTGTACTTTCCTTTTTTCCATTTTCCCCTTTTGTTTCGGAATTTCTGAGATATATAAATACATATATAATCAAAAACATCACAAATTCGATTTTAATCTCATGTGATTATATATCTTTTGTGTACATAACTAAACCATACATTGTTACTAAAAGATTTTGATTACATGTGGTTAAATATATTTTGTGTATATAAAAGATGATAATAACGTGTTATTAAAACAAAGTGTGGGATGCTAAATAAGAATATACATTGTTATTAATAGATGTTAATCACATGTGATTGGATATATTTTTTGTATATAAAAGATGGTAATCACATTTGATTAAAAAATACTTTGGTATTTTATGTGTATAATCATATATGATTGATTTTACAAAATATGTTTATGAATATAATCATATGTGATTGAATTATACATTTCTCATTCTTTTCTTCTCTTCTCTCTATTTCTTCTTATGCACTTTCCTTTTTCCCTTTTTCCCCTTTTTTAGGTGTTTCTCAGATATATATATATATATATATATATATATATATATATATATATATATATATATATATATATATATATATATATATATATATATATATTATATATATGAGTAAATTACACGAATGGTCCCTATGGTTTGGCGTAATTTGTGTGCTTGGTCCCTAATTTATTTTTTTAACTCGGAAAGTCCATACTGTTTGTTTTTGTTACGCGCTTGGTCCCTACTGTTTGTTTTTGTTACGCGCTTGGTCCCTGTGTTACCAAAAAAGACTATTATTTAAATAGGGAAAAATGGTGGGGTAGGTAAGGTAAGGTGACGGGGGTGGGGTTGGGGGTGTGTTTATTTAAATAAATTAAAAAATCAAGGGCAAAATAGTTTTTGTAGGTAAGACAGGGACCAAACGCGTAACAAAAACAAACAGTAGGGACCTTCCGAGTTAAAAAAATAAGTTACTGACCAAACGCGCAAATTACCCTAAACCATAGGGACCATTCGTGTAATTTACTCTATATATATATATATATATATATATATATATATATATATATATATATATATATATAATAAAAAAAATCACAAAGTCGATCTTAATCACATGTGATTGAATATTTTTGGTGTACATAAATAAATCATACATTGCTATTAATAAATCTTAATCATATGTGATCGAACATAGTTTTGATAAATATGCGCACATTGTTCATAACGTAAATTTGTATTCAATCAATCGTAAAAGAAATCAGAGTTAATCTGAACACTGAATGTAAATAAGATGTTGATTCGTCTCATATTATCCAGAAGGGGTACAAGTACAATTGTCGAGAAAGAAAGCTTAATGAAAAAGTTGCAAAAGGTACAAAATACTTATGTACCTACACTATTTATAGTCTACTCAACGAATGCAAAAAAATACCAGGACTTCAAAATTAAAAGCGAACCTACAAAAGCGCCTGGTAAAATACATACAAAATCAAATTCATGTTGACCTTCGATAATTACAACACTTCACTAGTGAGACCACTACCTAAGGCTTTGATACATCACAACAAATAAGACTGTACATTCTCCATCTTTCTGATCAATATTTAATCTTCAGACTGTGAGTAGTGTCTATATCACTTGTAGCAAAACTATTTTAATTTTCATGTACCATACGATGATCTTCCTTATCTCTACCCACTGGGTACCAAGAACGATACTAGAAAGATTATGATTTGAATATCTTTCTACATCGTCAGTATAGAATAAGAAATTCTTTTCACCTCCCTTCATGTTCTTTCATTGAAAGATAACTCCCAGAGATAGATTGGTGATTTCACCATCTTCATAATCATTAATATTCATATTTCCCTTGAACAAAGACTTAGGAACCTTTGACTTCTTATTGAAAGCATTAGCGGATTCAAAATTTGTTAATGCTAGATTAGCAAAGTGACAGTCCAAGAAGCTCTTGATTTGACTACGAAGCTTTGTCTTGAACATGGTGATTATTCATATCCCCCATAATCTTCGTAACTATGATGAGATCATTCAGATTCATTAAGGGAAAGTTGGAAATGATAAAGTAAAAAAGAACATTATTTTGCATGACAACACTATATCGATAGTTTTCCAAGACTCCTTCGAACAAAACATCAGGACTTAACTATATAAGTTTGACTATCTTCACCAATGACCACCCATCTTCTTCTTTTTTTCCAAGAACAGCATGAAAACGAATTTTCATACTTTTGTACTCATTTGTATCATGGAAATTCTCTGCAATCTTGAACTGAGCAAAAGTAAAAATCGAATGATTAATTGGAAAGTCCAGTTGGTTGAAATCTGAGTCTTTAATGGTGAAGCTTCTCTTTGGCCTCTATCGAACACATCAACTTCAGCATAAGCCACATTCTCAATTGTTTCATAACACCACACCTTCTTTGGATATCCTTTATCAAGACCAGGTGGGTCACTTGCTCTTATTAGCATGATGTTGTTCAGTTGCCTCATTCTTGCAAACTTAAGCTCTTGAAGCTTCTTCTTCTCTTCAAATGTAGGTTCCACATCAACACCCTTTCCCTTCTCTTTTGGTTCAGAAGTTGCAACAGTTTTCACTATTGAAGAAATTGAGCCTCCTTCGCTTATGTTCAAACCTTTCTTTGATTCTAACTTTGACTTATTAACTTCGACATTTGATGTAGCAGTCATTGTTGAAGTTGTCAAATGGATTTCATTGGTAGTGAAGTTGGTATTTGAGTAGAATACAACTTCATAACTACTTTTCCTTTATCTTCTCCACCATCTTTTGATGAACCACCCCCTTATCTCTCCCTTGTTACATGATCATTGATGTGCATGGAGCATTGGTGGGTAATCGAAGAATAAGATCCAAGATTGGTGACAGTTGAGATTTAAAACATGCATGATTCCACTGAAGAAACCACATACAAGAATTGTTATTGAGATATTAAATTCGTTGATGGAAAATCAAAATTAGATAAAGAATCATGAAAACTCGTAAGAGTGTTCTCAATTTTTGTAAACACATTGCCATCCGATTCCTTCTTGAGCTTCATTTCTCCAACATATTCCTTATTAAAGGGTGAAATATCTTCAATCAAGGTTTGAGTGGCTCCTATAAGAATATAAACATTATCCTTAATTCCCACACATAACATATCAAGCTTCGTCACTTCCTTTGAAAACAAATCAATCAATTCCTAAACTTTGGAAATAATGGACTCGTTTGATGAAGTGATCATTTGTTCAAACAATGTGTTCCTTTCATGAGCAACATTCTATAATTCCCTAACATCATGTGTATAAGAATTAGAGTGAGTAGCAAGACATTCTTCTAAAATTGTAACAACATTATTTATGAAAGTATTCATCCTCAACTTTTGAGACTTCAATAAAAAGTCACCTCTTTGGTTTATTTGGTTCATCATCATCCTCCCTACCACCTGAAATCACCACACCACAAGGAAATCCCTTGTGGAACGAACCAGACCCAAATTTTTCATTTTTTTTAAAGTACCCCCATCTTCACCTTCTAACAACCCCTATGAAATTTACTCCCCACCCCCTTCAGTTAAATCTGAAACCACAGACTGTTGAGTTCAAATTATATTGTATGGTGTCGAAGTACCATTTGGGTTGTCTCATTTCGAAGTTTGTATTTTGTATTTGATGTATGTATTACATAAGGAACTTTTTAGAGTTCGAAGCTTACGTGTCTAGTCCTTATGTATTTTTTGTATGTTTCTGTTACTTCCTATAAATAGGGGTAGGTATAGGAGTGAGAGTAATTTTTGTGAGATTTTGTGAACTTTATCTTTCAAAGTCGTGTACTCATTCAGAAGCAATTAAAGAGCCAAACAGTTCACATTTACATTTTGTGTTCTTTTCAATATGTACTCTGATTTTGTTCTTAACACTCGATTCATATGAACTACATTTGGTATCAGAGCAGGATTCCTTCAATTGTTTTCTGGTTTTCTCGTGTTTTTAAAACTGTTGAGTCGCTATTTTCAATTCAAAAATATTCCGCACTTTTGATTTAGAAAACCTGATGTAATCAATTCATTTGATTAGATTCTGCATTTTATTTGACAAATCTAGTGTTCTCTGATCTTTTTCTGTAAGAATCATCTGTCAGATTCCATTTTCTGAAGCTTTTCATCATTTAAGTTCGTACATCAATGGCAAACTTTAACATGAATACTATGACTGGCTTCTCTCATATTCTCGATTCTTCTACCAAAATTTTGATGCTAATTCCTGAATATTACGAGCAATGAGCAGAAAATGGAAGATTATCTCAATTGGATTGATAAAGATCTTTGGTGCTGTTTTACCAGTGGAAACTATCGTCCAGGAATGCTAGAATAAGTCGGAACAACTGATTCCTCTGCTAATGTTGGTGTGTAATCTGACAAACAGAAAGCGAATGATAAAAGGTGTTTGCGTTAACTTCGTGGTGTTCTTCCACTAGTGGTTTAAAATTATGTTTGAGTTTGCAAATCAGCAAAAGAAATCTGGGATACATTGAAAGTGAAGTATCAGGGTAGCAAGAAAGCAACGAAAACTTCTGTTAAGCGGTGTCTACTTGAATTGGGTGAATTCAAGCAAAAGGACGATGAGACAATCGAACTGTATTACGATCGTCTAAACGAGTTGATCTTCAAATGCAATCGTTATGGAATCATACATTCTAATCTTGAGTACAATCTCACATTCTTAATGGGGCTTTGAAAGGAATAGAGAAACATTACTTTGATGATCAAGACCCAACAAAGCATCGATAACTACTATTTAGGAGATCTCTACAATGTTTTGAAACCTCATGAGAGTGAGATCAACGAAATTGCTGAAGAAGGAAAACAAAATCTGGGGAGTCCTCTTGTTGGATTAGGTGTCTAAGTTCATAACTATTTCTAGAATGTACTTGACCCGGTTGGCATGGTCCATTTGGGTTGCATGGTATTGCAACACTTGGATAGACTAAATGAGAGAAAGGACACTTATGGTTTATTAATATATTATAAGTTCTAATATATTAATAATATTATTTAATTAGTATTGATCAAGAATTAATTTAGAATTAATTTTGGTGATCAAAAGGAGACTAATTAAATATATGGGATTGATTGTGTAAATCATCCATTCTTTTATAGTGGGCTAATGATCCATGGTTTATTGAATTGGGCTAAAAACTATAAGGTGCTCCATGGATAGTCCATGGAGGTTATAAACCCATGGATCATGGAATATGAAAAGCCATGTCAATTAGGGTTTACATGGTGTAACCCTACTTGTGACACAACTATAAAAGGATCCTATGGGCTACCAAAACCGGCACTATGTGTAGAACAAGGGGCTAGCCGATTTTGAGTGATAGTGTACTTCTCTCAAAGTTATTCCAAGAGTTGTGGTGCTGTGTGAAACATTTGAGGCATCACACTTGAGGTGCTAGGCTCACAAGGTTCTCAAGGAATCCAATCAACAAGAAAGGTATGTTCTTCTACTAGCTTTTATGTTTCAAAGTTCCCCATGCCATGCTAGTTAGGTTAAGAACCTTGGAAAATCAAATTTGAATGTATCTTAGTAAAACATAGATCCAAGGTTTCTAGGGTTGCATGTACACATTAGGAGTGTTAGAGTGCTCAAAACCCATCAGTGGTATCAGAGCCTAGACTTTGTTTTCTTGATACTTGATGCAAATTGTTGAAAAAACTCAAGATTTCTGCATTCTGCTGAGTGAACTCGCCGAGTCCATGGGGGGACTCGACGAGTCCATGTGTTATTTCATTCTACTCGTCGAGTAGGTTCTTGCACTCGACGAGTAGGAGGCCCTGAATGCAGATTTTCGAGTTTTGCTGCTGGAAATGGACTAGAAACATTACCCTAAACTATTTTGGTCTTATAAAACTTGTTTTAGATGGTGTAATGGTTATGCTAATCCATTTACAATGGCTATTATCAAAATTTCAAGTTTTGTATGTGTTACTTATGATTCTTGAAATTGTTAATATAAATGTTCATACACTTATGAGTTTAGAAGATCATAGGAATTATTTGCAAATAGTTTGTTAGTTTAATTCTTGATCTTGATGTGTTTTAATGGAATCCATAATTTGTCCTCAAGTTATGGATTACCAAAAGTCTTCCTTTTAAAGTCCATTAATGAACACATAGGTTACATAAAATGAAGAGTCTCTTAATTTAATAAACCATTAACTCATAACTTATGAAGTTGAAAAGTTTTGAAAGTTACAAAACTTGCCCTCAAGTTTTGGAACATGTAAAGTCACCTTAAAATCTTTAGTTCCAACCCCTAGAATTTTAAAAGTTAAAATTCAACCCTTATACTTTATAATATTTAATTTAATATATATATATATATATAAGATATATATATATATATATATATATATATATATATATATATATATATATATATATATATATATATATATATATATATAAGATGAAGTCGTTTTACCGTTAGTAGGCCTCATTCATGAAGCCGGTCTATAAGGGGGGTATAAGGTTGCTGCCTATAAAATGGCAGCTTAATGGGTGTCCACTCTCACCCACCGCTTCCTTGACTGGTGGAGGGTCGTTAGCCGAACAGGTAAGACAATGACTTTAATCCTCATTAAAAGTATGATGGTTATAAAGTAACTAAATGTTTTTATAAATTTTTAATCTTAGTTACTTTAGGAAAATGTGAATATGGTGCTAACCCATGAAATTACACTTTGAACTTTGTTTAAGTCGTTAGTGGAGCGTGTGTGGTTAACCGGCACACTAAGATGGACTTAACAAGGTAGGCAAAGGGTGGCTTAAGGTTTATCATAGGTCGGTGGAGCGCGTGTGGTTAACCGGCACATCGGTTAGATGATAAACATTAAGAGTACCAAGTAATTTGCATGGTTAATTCACACCTTCTTCTGTGATCCTCGGTATCCCAGTCACAAAACTTGAAGGGCACACTCGAGATTGAAACATGTCATTGAAAAGTTCAATGAATATCAAAAGAATCTAGGAGTTTCAAAACCAATTAAAACCTAATTATCCATTTCGTTTTTAATGGTGGAAATTGGTGAATCGTCATTCACCTACCTCCAAATATTTTATAGCTTGGATTACGACACCCCTCTTCTAAGTTATAAAATATTGTGTTGGGTCCTAGCCTTAATATTACATTTGGGTGTCTTATTAAGGACTATCTTTATATCTAATCTAAACTTGTCTTTCTTTCTTTTCAGATGTCTTCCAACAATGCTGCATCTGGCTCAAACCCTACCGGCTCCTTCTCTCTCATGAAACTTTGTGGGAGAGTCATCTTCAATGGTTCCAACTTTATGGATTGGATCTGGAACATCAGGATGCTCACTCGTTACGAGGACAAGGAATATGTCCTCGACAAGGAGCTTAAGGAACTTGATGAGTCGTCTGCTACTCCTGAGGAGATCGCTGAATTCCGGACTCATGAGAGAGATGTCACCATAGTGGCATGTATCATGTTGGCCACGATGACAGCCGAGCTCCAAAAGTCCTTTAAGGACTATTACCCCTTTGAGATGCACATGACTTGATGGACCGATACCATCAAAGTACTCGTAAAGAGAGGTATGAAATCATCTCCTCCATGATAACAACCCGAATGAAGGATGGTGAACCCATCACGGGCCACATGCATA